AATCAGTTGCAAGGGTTGTAGTTATGGTTGCATGTGATGCTGTACCTGAAATCTATTTCCAGTTGCTTATATTTATTTTGCTTAATTTGAAATGCTGAAATTGAAATAACCTACATCATCCCTTAATTTATTCTTTCTGATCAGATGTTCCAGATATTGGAGTAATGAGAGTGAGGGGAAGATGACGCCTGCTGTTCCTCCCTGTAGGGGAGGGACCTTGGCTTGGGGTAGGAGGATGGTTTTTTGGTCAGGAAATTAAAAAAGAAATAAAATTCAGAAAGTGCATGGTGACTTTCAGGAAAACACTCCCCTTTGGTTGGGACTGCTGTGGAAAACTGAATTCTATACCATGCCTCAGCTGCCTCGTACTGGGCAGAAGCTGCTGCAAGTCACCTGTGGTGTGTCCCGTGGTTGGTTTGTCCTGTCAAGAGCTTTGGTTCCCTCTTGGAGAAATGCACGGTTCTCCTTGCTGCTTTGTGCAGCTTTGAAGTTGCACTTTGAATGCACAGAAGTGCTGAGCTCTGTGGAAAATGAAGCCTTTGGTGTCCAAATTGGTCACTCAATTAGTAGTTCCTTCTGACAATTTTGGGTTTGTTCTCTGTGGTTCAGTTCTACATTCTTAAAACCCTGGTAATGCCACCTAAACAGAACTGTATTATAGGGTAAACTTATTAATAGTTTTGAACATTTGGTTACAACTGTAAGTTCCCAGGAGAAGAATTCACTCCAGGGTTTGTATGGGATGTGGTAAATAAGCCAGAGTTATTGTTTTCAGGCACTGCCTTTCTGGTGTGTGCAAACAATAACTTCAGCAGCTTCCAGACTTATTTTTCTGATTCTTCCAGACTATGGTCGTGGTTTCACGAGACAGTAAACTGGGGACTGAAGGGCCTACAAGATGAAAAACACCATCACCACATGTTGCAATGTGTTGAGCCACTGCAATCTGGCTTTGCCTATTCAAATGCCTTCATAATGTTTTGAAGGAGCAGCCTTGCCCCAGCGGACTTTGTGCTGGTTTGGATACTCCATGCCTGTCCTGCTTTGCCTCTACAGGAGACCTGTGGGGTCTTGCTTTTTTTGGTTTAAAAAATAAAATCCAAAAAAGCAGCAAAGGTGCTCAGTTGATGCTCTGGCTTGAGGCAGCAGACAGACCAGCCTGGCACCACCTCAGCAGTGGTGCGGCCTTGTCTAATTGCACCTCTCAGAAATGACAGCTTCCTCAGGGATTTATGAGGCGCTTCTCATTTAATTTTCTCCGTAAGCCATGCTGTTTGGGCCCCCTACTGGGGACACAAGTTTCAGCAATGAAAAGAGTACATAAGCCAGAAGGAAGCTGCTCCAAATTCCTCGTTGCTGTAAATTGTGGGGCTGGGTGAGTGCTGGTGGCTCTGCTGAGGCATTGCTTCGTGCACTGATGTGCACCAGGGCCTGGTGGGGATTACATCATGTTGTTTTGTTGCATCAATGTATTTTAAAATTGCATTTTTTGTGGACATGAAAATACAGAACAGCTAAGGTGTACAGATGGCATCGGTGTTTCAAGCAGGCTTGAAATCTGGAGCTATACCAGGATTGCCTCACCCAGCTCTTTCCCTTTCTTTCACCTTGACTCTCTTCTCTGAAAACAGAAGCCATTTCACCAGCATCTTCTTTCCTCATATTGTTGCCAGACCTTTTTTTCCCTTTTTCTCTTTTTGTTAAATCACCTGGAACACTCAGCATTTGCAGCCAAAAACATCCACGTAGTCTTTTACTGAATGACCCTAATCTTCCCGTCTCTATTTCTGCCTCTGCTACCTGTGATTTCAGTTGCTAATTATAACTCCTGAGCATGCTAGGAGTTGTAGAAATTAGGATGGTGGTACAGTGCGTTTGCTTTACATGAGCAGATTCTGCAGTAATACTTTAAGGTTCGTATGTTGTATGTGTGTGGGAAACAGTATGGAAAACTGTTCTCATGGACCTAATGCCTTGAGACTAATCCGTTCATGGTACAGGGCAGAAAACCAACAGTAAGAAGGGATGTATGAAATAGCGTGCTCTAAAAGAGCAGGAACAGGCTCTTCTGGCACATTCAAAGGGGCTCCACTTCTAAACCCATGAAATCTATGTGAGAACTGGAATATTTCGATGTGGGCTTCCTGATCTCAGCGCTGCTGAAGAGTAACATTTGCTTGTGAGGCAGCACTTGTAGAGCAGCCGCAATCTGTGGGGCTTGGTGTAGGGTAACGCTGTTTATAATGAAGTCAGAACTGGCTTTTAAAGCCTGATGAATGAAAGTCCACAGTATAAGACTGCGGCTTTTTTGTGTGAGAGACATCTGTGCTATAACAAGAGCAGGAGACCCAATTTAGACAACTGCTAGAACAAGAGCTCAAGAAAAGCGAAGCAAGGACTTTTTTTTCCCCCTAGCTTAGATGAAAAGTTTATACAAATAAACTTCTCCTTTCAGCTGCTCATCAGAATTGCTGCTGCACCACCAACTTGGCTTTGAATTTTGTTCTGATGGTCCAACAAGGCTGTACACCAAGAGTATTACGGAAGAGCAGCTTAAACAAAACATGTTTGTTTTGCAGCCGAATTAGGAGGCTTTGAACTAGAGGAAAAAAACTGAGGAGAGGGGAAAAGACTGGATGAGGAGAAATGTGAAAAAATGAGGGATGTGAACAGAACCTGGCTGTTACAGTAAATAGATGTTAAGCAAGAAACATGCGGGACTGGATTTCTATGTTTTGCCAGTGAGTTACAATGGAGGGGGGGGGAAGAGGGGAGTGTCTAGTTTTTGAGTAGTTGCAGTGGCTTTTAGCAGCTGGATCAACTGGTTCTGATAGTGTCCACAGCAAAGCTTGCTGATCCCTGGAAAATAGACGCATGCACTCCCATCTCCCCCAACCACTTCTCATACATTTTTTACTAATGTGTTTCAAATAGTCTGGTTAACAGACTGTCTTGATGGTGCCGCTCACACTTACAACCTTCTTACATGAGCAAGATGAAAATAAGAGTGTGTGATGGGGACTGTGCTGCTAAGAGCAACTCTACTTCACTCAACAGGGATTGTGTATTTTGTTAAAGTTCCAGTTGTCCAAGGAAGCTTACTGCAAATCTGCTTGATTTGGTTCAGCTCCATTAAAATGAAAATGGGAGCTCCAGTCACTTAAATTAACGCTCTGAGATGCACACTCTGCTCTCTCTGAGATAGCTCAGAGGAGGATTAAGGAGTAGTATAACTGGAGAACTTCAGATGAAGAGGAGTGGGATGTTGAATACTGAGCAATTCCTCAGTGGTGGCAAAAGAGCCTTTTGTTTCATAGGGTTCTTGGAGTAGATGCATGTCGAACATGTTGAGAGCATTTTGATAGCTGACTCTAAGTATACTGAAAGCAGTAGTTCTGGGAGTGCATGCAACACCTTTTGAAATGCTGCATAGTTTCAGCTTGAAAGCATTCCTTTTCCTGGTGAAGGTGGTGACTTTAAAAATCTGATTCTTCATTAAAATGTATTCTTAAGTCAGAACATAAATTTAGTGTGGAAATAAATTGCAAAACATTGTTTAACTTTTATTTCAGCATTGCTCTTCTCCCGCATGAATGAAATGAAGTTCAGTAATTTTTGAAATCATGCAGCTTTTGGCTAGGGTGGGCTGCGGAGTTCAAATGTAATCAAAATTTGTCATAAATCACTAAAACATTAGCTCACACTTGTAATGCAGTCTTCTGTGTAATACAGCACTGGTGTTGACATACTGTAGGGACAAAAATTGCTTTTTTCTGACTAATGAACTCTTCAGTATCCTGTTTCCAGTAAACATCTCAAAGTGGGTCTCTGAGCCAGGGACTTGGCTTGCTTTTGCTTGTTTTTGAAGCACTCGCTCCTGCTCATCTGTTGATCTCAACTGAGGAAAAATTATCATTTGGGCCATCTCTAGCAGAAAGCTTTTCACTAGTCACATGGAGTGACCCTCCAGGCTTGTGCTGATGTGCAATCCTGAGCTGTAAGACCTCCCAGGTCCCGTTTGTCTTGGTGATCGTTTAAATGGTCTCCAAAGGCTTTCCCCCAGGCTTCTCATTTCTTCTGATGCCCCAGAACTTCTCTGCTTTCAGAAATATTTAGTGAATTTCGGAGTAAATGTGTTCTTAGTTTCAGACTCTAGAATTTGAGGAGTAGCAGAAAAAACTCTTAGGGGATCACAAAGGCTTTTCTAACTTCTTAGTTTAAATTGGTTGCTTCTGCAGCATCATTTTAGTTCTCAGAACAAAACACTAGACACAACAGAGCACAGTGGTATACTCGTGTGTTCTGTGCTAGCCACTGTGGAACAGTATGGAACAGTATTTCTCTGCAGGAGGAAAGTCAAGTTTACACCATCTGGATTTTAGAAGGGCTATCAGTGTGTATTTTGGTCTTTTTATTTGAATGCTCTGATACCTTGATTTTTCTAAAGATGTAATTGTTTCTTGCCCTTTCATTTTCCAATTGACTGGACTAAAATTAATTATGGCCTCATGAAACTACTTTATTCAGCTGCCTCTTCTTGTGTTTTTTTCCCCACTTGTTTTCTTCCTGACTTTCTACCAACGGACAAATGAAATGTGACTCTCAATAACTGTGAGGATGTTCTTGCTATTGATTCCTTTAGAATGGAGAATAACACTTTCCTATGAAACCAAAGAGTAATTATTCCTGACTCTGTTTTGCCCCACACTGTGAACAGGTGGTTTCAAGGTTTATTCCCAAAAAGCTGGGACTTAGGTATTATATTGCTTCAGCTGTGTTCTTTGTTTTCAAATTTGTCAAGTTTTGTGTGGATTTTCTGAATTCAGAACAAATGTAAGTAATGCATGCTTACTCTTTCCAAGCTGATATGATTTATAGCTTATCAGAGAAGTTGTCTTGAATGCTCAAGTTCTGATAAAATCATTATAAATTTTAGCGTAATTAGTCTTTTGTTAACAATTTTGAAATTGAAACCTTTTATTTCTTCCCCCCTCTGTTAGGTGTTGGACAGTTTGTTAGCTCAGTATGGAACAGTGGAGAACTGTGAGCAAGGTAGGCACTCTGACCTCAAATTGCTTTTAAATTTGTAGTAAGAAGTGAATGCATGCTAAATTTACCTTCTTTCCTTTTGTTTTCCTCTCTAGTGAACACTGACACAGAGACTGCAGTTGTAAATGTAACATATGGCAATAAGGACCAGGCTAGACAGTAAGTATATTAGTATTTGCTGCTGTAGGCTGGCTTACATGTTGGAGTTCATGTTCAGATTTTATATGCATCTTTTCTTCTGATTAATCTACCAGTAAAATTATCATGTGAGTGATTCCGCTTTAAGAAAGCCTCTTTGCCAAGTCTTGTGTGCTTTACCTTAGTGTTTGCTATTTTCTGTCATAAACTTTTCCTACACGTCCAGAGTGTGTGTTTGTGTCAGATAAAATTGAAAATTTGGGTAAAATTATTTGTGTAGGGAGGGTTGAAAGGCCATTGATCAGGTAGGGGCTGGGAGGATTCCTCTCTCTGTGTGCTCGTGATTATGGCTTTTGCCAAGCTTATGACTCTCTCAGAATGGTTGGTGTCCCAGCACCAGCTGTCACACTATAGCTGATTTGCTTATCTGCTTATTTTGTTTCCTTATGTCTTCAGTAATCAATGATTTTTTTAATCTAGATCTTAAAATTTAAAACCAGAATGTTTTCTTAACCAACAGTTGTATAATTTCCCTTTGAATATTGATATTATTTATTATGCTATAGGTTTAAATTTGCTTTTCCTTTGTAGCTAGGAACTCTAGTTCTTTTTCTTAATTTCTAATTTGGAGACTCAACCACTTTTTTCCCCCCTTCCTTTTTAATTATAGCAGGTTAAACAAAACCATACCCAAGGGAATAGCCTGCAATGAATTTCCTTTTTTAACTTTGAAATTTCTGCCACCTTGTGGCTAACTAGAATGAGCATTAAAGACATAGGCTATGCTGATGGTATGCATTAATACAAAATTACAAATGAAATACATTTGTACACTTAAGCATTTATGAGTTCCGTGCAACTTGAAAGCAACACAAGTCATATGTCCAAATGTTAGGTTGCTTGTCAGTAGTGGAACTGAAGGAAACTACTTTTCTTCAAATCACTATTGAACTTACCTCCTCAAAACCTGAGTTGATATTTTCCTCTCTGTGATCTTTTGTTTCTTCTAATTCTGCTGCAAAATAATTTAAAAATATGCTGCATTTCTTGTTCTGAAGGAGTCCAGTGGTGCAGTGTTAGAAATTGGTTGTAAGTTACCTCTTCAAAAATGTAATGAGGAAGTACCAAAAGCGCCACAGAAAGAAGCGTGATGCATAAATTTGATCTGCCACCTGTGATGTGGTTTCCTGGATTTGTGCACTACATTCTGAAGCTGAGGACAGCAAAGTGTAATTTCTTCTCCCTTAGACAATATTTGTTAAATTTTGTGGATAATCCTGAGAAAAATGCCACAGTAAGTTGAGTCTGTGAGGAAGTGATTGAGATTAAAAACAAATAATCCGGTTTTGCACGAGAAATTGCATGAAAAAATAATTGAAGGTACCTTGAGTTTGAAGCAGGTGAAGTAGTAGACATTATAGACATTGGTGGAGGGCCAGATGTAGTGCAAGATGAATGATGACACGTAGTGTGTTTGCCTTGAGCGTGTAGGGCAAGTGCATGAGCCTTGAATTTGCTTTTGTGAATACTGTGACAGAGACTCAGGCCTACCTAAGGGATTAGTTAATGTATGCCAAGAAAATATTGGTTCAGGTTGTAACTCTTCAGCTACTGGAAAAAAACCAACCCAAGTGGCCAGATGGATGTTCTTCTGGTGAAAGCAGTGAGGAATTGCCAGGTAGAATCACCACAGGGCACGTGTGGCTGATCTCCAGGGACACTGGTGTTTCAGTTGAGTGTTTTTGCGAGACATGACTTAGTTGTGCTTCTTGGATGGTTGTGGTAGACAGCAGTGGCTTTAGAAGGGAGGAGTGGTATGTGAGTGTTTGACATCTGATAGAAGTCAGCACTGGTCAGCCCATGCAGTAGCGGGAGTAACAAGAAATACTTATTTGAAAGTTGCTCAGGCTGGCTGGGAATCAACAGCTAACAATAAGTTTTGTATGTTGAGATAAAGCAGCTTAGGGCAAATATTGCTATTAGCAGTGCTGCTAGCACATCACAGCATCCTGCACACATGACAAAGACAAAGAGATCATGCAATGCCTATGGTGCTGTATGCAGTGGCTCCCCAGTTCTCAGTGTGTTTTACACCTTTTGCAACACATGCTAACCTCATGGTTGGTGACAACAAAACAGGCTAAGCTCGCTGCTTCCCTTCTGAATAGAAGGGGCTGTGTACTGATGGAATGGTGCAGTGATGGTGCTGCACCACAACCTGGTTCTGATTTAAACTTGTGATATGCAGTTTAAACACGTGGCGTGTATTGTTTGAAGGATGTTACTTTTGAATATAACTCCTAATCTTGGCCAAGTTGGAAACTGAGCTTTCCTTGTCTTACTTGCTGTGACAGAGGTTTTCTTCTCCCCCATTTTCTGGACTGGTGCTGCAGTTCTGGTTCTAAACTGAAGGAGTTGAGAGGTCGGTCCAAAGAGGTAATGCTACGCCATTGCAGTGAGTGGGAGAATAAGCCAGGCCAACCAGAATAGTGACAAATGTTCCTTAGCTACCTCTCATGACCACAGCATCACAGGTCAGGATGTCAGCCATCTCAAGGGCGTGTAGAAATTGCTCACTTCTCTAGGGAAACCTGCATACTCTGCTCCCTTTACTTCTCTTAAGTGCATGTATACAAGTGTACACAGCACGAGAAGTAAACAGGAAGAAATAAGGATCTGTGTGCAGTCACAGAGCCATGGTCTCATTGCAATCACAGCAACTTTGTGAGACAGCTCATGTGACTGGAATGCTGTCATGAACGTCTATGTACTTTTTAGGAAAGTCAGACTAGTTAGGCAAAGAGGTTTGCAGAGAGGCATAGGGCAAGCAGTAAGATCTCTGCTCCCAGGATAGTGAGAAGAAATCTGGGACTGTCTGGGGAGCTCTGTGACCTCAAACCACTCCTCCTGCAAGTGACTAGAAGGAGGAAGGAGTTGTTCCAACTCAAAGCCCTATCATTCCCATAAATTAGAGTCTTAACAAGTATACATGCACTGCTCTTAAACATGCAGTTACTGTTGTGATGGATTCTGGGATATCTGGGAGAGGAGTAGAGAGGGCAAGTGGCAGAGCCCAGATCGTGCAGTGCTGGCTTGGTGTTCACCCTGAAACGTGTGTCTTGAGGTGACCTGCTGGCTGAAGGGCCCTCCTCTTCTTCCCTTGTTGATCCAGGGTGGGCTGACCATGTCTTTGTGGCCACCTCTGTGGCTGTCGTTGTCACAGTCATGCTGCCTCCTCTTTCTCTCCCCCAAATGTTCCAGACTGTAAGCATTGAGTGCTACAGAATTTAGCTCTGGTTTTTGGAAGGGATTTCCATACAAAGCTGGTCTTCTGTCTGTGGAGTGGGTGCCTGTTATTTCAGGATGGGGCTGGATGACCATTTTTTATATCTTATTTTTCACCTCATCACTGAGCTATGGCTGCTGATTGTGTCTCATAACTGATGTAGTGTTTTAACTACTGGCTGTGATGTGAGGAGCTCAGGGTCTGTGTCTTAGCAGATACAAGCAGATATACTTAAGATGCTGATGATGGCTTTTTAATGAGAATATATACAAAACAAATGTTGTTACCCCTTTCATTGAAGCACAAAGCTGTGTGTGCATACAAGGAAGCATCTTTGACAAATGGGTAAGAGTTCACATAACTAATATTTTCATACACCATCATGGATCAGGATGGTAACGTTGCCATAGGAACGATAAGACTGAGAATTCTAAATGGTATGTGATTATAAGCTAAGATTTGTCTTTTGCTTTGTTTTTATTTTCAGAAATACTAATGAAAACTATATTTTTACTTAATGTGGGGGGAAAGAAAAAATTCAGCCAAAGAAAGATTACTACGTAAATCTGTCGTCTTGGTATGCAAATGTATCTGCTTAGGGAGGAAAAATGAAAGGTAGTGTACATATAAGCTGCATGTGGGAGTGAAATGTGTTCTCCATCTAGTGTTTAGCATTGTCATGCTATCAATGGGTGAATGATTACCTGCACAAGATTTGATGCTTCTTCTGTATTCGTTAATTTAGAATGGTTAACCTCTACCAGTATCAGAAGGTAGAAGGCTGGTCAAATATCTTCTCATAGGAAGCTCGCAAGAGGACAGCAGTAAGATGCAATTTTGATGGGGGGAAAAACTCAACTGACTGCATAACAGAGTATTTATTTAGTGGCTTCATCCTCACAAAGTGATCCTCTTTTGAGTAGGTCTTACCTGAAGAGTAAGAGTTACAAGCCAAGCTGTAGTACAATCTAACTGAGCATAGACAGTGGTCATTGCAAAATTTATTTTTATTTTATAAAAAAAAAAAAAAAAAAAAAAAAACAAAAAGGAACTGCAGTGAGATTTCTGCCAGCTCTTGCTGGCATTTGAAAGGTAAGTGCTTTCAGTTTTCCCCATTATCTTAATTAAAAAAAAAAAAAAAAAGATTTTGGGCATGGAAGTTACTCCTTGGTGAGCAAGCTTACTGAAGGTTTCTCCATCTCCATACTCACTAAGTCTCTGTGAGGCTTTTAGCCCTCATGTAAAAGGTGGTGAGTACCAGCAATGACTTCTGACAGAGGTAACCTGTGACATCTTCATAGCTGTGATCATGGGAGGGGAGATCCTTAGCTCTGTTTGGGAAAGGAGAGGCCTTGCTGTAAGGCAGAGGTGGTGTAGTTGGAGGTTCTGAGGTGGTCATCATGTAAGAGGATATACTTGGAAGAAGGAAGTGGATTTAATGTGTCTTTTGGTGGACTGCAAAAAAGGCAATAAGTGTGGCATATTTTAAACTTTTCTCTCTACGTATCTGAACTAGTCAAACCAGTGATGCCACTGAATATTTCTACGTGCTCAGGTGCACACCCCTGCTATCTAGCTTGAGAAGCGAACTTTAAATCATGCTTGCTTCCAAATGCCTGCTCAAAACCAACCTGTTCAGTATTTGATATTTTTTCTCCCCTTCTCATCATATGGCTTTGGTAGCCAGGGAGGATTGTGTACTGCTGATACGATTGTTTTTTTTTTCCAAAACAGAAAATGAGCTTTTCTCAGTTTGTTTCAAGTTTTAAGTCATATAGAATATCTCATAGAAATGCTTAACAGTTTATAAATTGCTTTTAAGCAGAAAAACTCAAATTCTTTCCAGAGGAAGTATGGTATATGTCAATTGTTACTTTATAATATCTGTTGTGACAACATGATGTGTCTGTAGGTTGGTTGCAAACAAAAGCCTAGTCTTTTCCTCCCCTGTTACTTCTGAGAAGAGTGGGATGCCTCTTGCACTGGTTTAATGTAGGATTTTGTAAGTGCTGGGATTCTGGCCTAGGAAGTTTTAAAGCCAGAGAAGCTGGAAGCACTTCAGGAAAGAAGCAGTGTCTGAACTTGTCAAATGAATGCATGGAAGGGAATGAGCTGGTATGAATGTCAATCTGCTGCCTACCAGCAAAATGGTTGGAGCTCGTCTCTTCAACATCTTGACGTTTGATTCCAAAAGAAACAGGGCTTGGGCAACTGCTCTGGCTGATGGTGCCATTCCCCTTCCCCACAGCTTTTCAGCTTCTTGGCTGATTTTAGAAAAGCTCAAACCGTAAATAGAGGTTGCAGATATTTGCAATCAGTGAGAACTCTCTTTCAGGTTACATGAGAAGATGAGACTTCATACCCCTTCCCCAGATAATATCTCCACCAAGAGAGACCCACTTTGGGGAAATGCCTTTTCAGTGTTACTACTCTGTGCTGAAACTTGAGAGACAAATCCAAAGGACAGCAAGTTTCGTTAGTAGTACTGCTCAGTCTTTTCTGTTCTTGCAAACAGCATTTTGTGTAATAAAATGTTCTCTGGTCTGTGGAGTAGAAATTCAGAAGCGACAGCTTTGAAATGACCTCAGCAAATTTTAATCCAGCTCTCTTCTGCCATATGCTGTAGGAGATTCTCCCATTATGGGAACAATTACACTTCCATTCCATCCCCAGAGGACTTCTGTCTCGTTTGGTGAACAGAAGTATTTAATGAACAGTGATCAGTTATTCAATATTTTGCTTTTCTTGTTGTTCAGTGGGATTGCCTTAGGCCTTATTTATTACCAACCCTTATTAGATGCTGCTCCAAAGACAAGAATTAATTTTGTAAGCTCTTCACTGTCCTATTGGAGTATTTCACAGACAGTGGTTTACTCCCCGAGATGCGAGGGTGTATGTTATCCTCTTTACTGTACCTGAAGGTCGTTGTCTTGGTACCACTTCTGTGCACGGCTGCTGCTCTCTTCCAATAGTGGTTTGAGGCCAGGGGCCTGACGGTCAATGGGGACACCTGGGAGGTGAGCAGTACTTTGCTAACTGCCCTTGGAAATGGTTGGCCTTGTATTGCTGTGGCAGACGAAGCGGTAAAGTTGTCCTGGGGAGCAGTGTGTTGTAAACCAGCTGTCGCTACACACGTGTGAAAACTAGATTCAGTTTCTGTATCTCCAAGACCTTGCTCCAGAGTGTACGGTTACTATGAGCTTTTTAAAAGAAAATGTTGATGGATTCCTTATATGCAATACGAATCTCCCTCCCTCTCACAAATGTTTTTAATTTAACCCTTAAGCAAAGTCTCTTAGTAATTTTTTTTTGTCCTAGATTAAGCCTGGTGTTCGTAACTACCCCCAGATCGATGCACGGTTCAGTGATATCAGTATCATTTCTGATAATGTCAATAACGTGCCTTCTGTGGTCAAACTCAAACTTTTTCAAATAGATGCATGAAGCTTATGCTAATATGTTTCCAGCATGTTGTGGGTAGCTTAGTTATCCATACTGCTTCCTGGATCTTCAATTCTATTGACACTTCCTCTTCTGCTTGCAAGTGCAAGGTCGTCTACCTTTCAGAAATCAGTTGTTTTGGGCCCTGGAGTTGTGCTTCTGCAGAGAGGAGTCTGGGTCAGGTTGACCTGTGTATGTGGGACTTTGCTTAGTTGAAAAGGATGTTTTCAGATGCTGGTCTCTCCTTGTTATCATAATGTCCTCAGGGCTACGAAGGGGCATGGGAGCTACTTTATTTGTGGGTGCTGCTTAGAGCATAGGTGACCAGGGTATTTTTGTATTAGGTAAAAATAACCTGCTGCAATATGCCTGTCCTTTGGTATTTCCTCTACAGGAAACTAGCAATGATTTGCCAACTGATCCACCAAGAGATTCAGATTTAAAGCTTCCAGTAGCCGGGGGCCTCTACTAAATGTAGCCAATGTCTGAGTGGCCTTCAAGCGTTCAGTGTTATGCTGAGGATGTGCTCTACTCAGTGTAGTGGGATGGTGTGGTCTTAAGGGCAGAATAGATCTTGAAACACCATGTCTTCAAACACCTTTGCATCGATCAAGAGCAAAGATGCATTAGTTTTAATTTGTTGGTTAACTTTCAATCCATAACTGGTTGGTAAGCTGATGTTTCAAGTGCCATTGACTGGCTTTGAATACTTTCTCTCCTGCTGAGAATGAAGCGTGAGCGGTTTTTCCTATCTTTTTCTGTCATAGCTATGTCAGTTAGTGCAAAAAACCTCCAGCCAAATAGCTGTGCTGGCAAAAACTCTAATGAAGGTGCTGTGATATCAGCTAAAAAGTTTTCCCTCTGGTGCAGATTTAATTCTATTTGGGAAACTGATTTAAATTACAGCAGGCAAAAGAATGCTTTTGAGTATATAAGCCTTGTCTCCTGTGAGGTTTTGCTGATAGGGCTGCACCAGCAAAACCTTTAAAGTGCACAGAAGCCCAGAGCAAGCAAGAGCTAACTTGTAGTTCTTAATATGGTAACTTTACTGTTTTCAGTCAAGATTTAGATTAAAAAAATAAACAATTGAATATAAGCTTTCACCTGGGAACAGATTTTTAGCTTGTTTTACTTGGGAAGTGTGGAAGGCTACATCTGAATGATTTCTCATTCTTATGGTGTCCCACCTGTGACTTTCTTTTTATTTTTTTCTCCCAACCTCCTCCTACTCTTCTCCCCTTTGCAAACAGAGCAATAGAAAAACTGAACGGGTTTCAGCTTGAAAACTATTCCTTGAAAGTTGCGTATATCCCTGATGAAATGGCGGCACAGCAACCTCCGCAGCAACATCCCCAGGGACGGCGTGGATTTGGACAGAGGGGCCCTCCAAGGCAGGGCTCACCCAGCGCAACCGCGCGGCAGAAACCACAGTCAGACGTTCCTCTACGGATGTTGGTCCCCACGCAGTTTGTTGGAGCCATTATTGGGAAAGAAGGAGCAACCATCAGAAATATTACAAAGCAGACTCAGTCCAAGTAGGTTACTGTAAAGGTGTTACTGTAAGTTTCAGTGTTGTGTCCTTGTCTACTGTGTGAAAGGAGAAGCAAAATTTCTGCCTCTTCTATGGGATGAGTGTATTTACAGTCTGTTCAGCAGTTTGTCTTCCTGTAGGAGCTGCTGGGAACCCTTTGCCTTAGCACTGTAAGTGTGTTTTCTGCTGTGTTCTATGTGTGATGTGTCTTAGTTTGCGCATACTTTTTGTTTCTGAAGGAAGCTCAACCTTACAAATAGAAGGGGGGGGTTCTTTTCTTTTTTTTTTTTTCTTTAAATCTGGAATATTTATGTTATTGGAATGTTCTTGGTTACAGGACAAGATTGTCTCCCACTTCTCCCATAATACTGTTACAGCCTTTGAAAGGCTGCGGTTTCCTCAGCAGCATCATTTTTGGAGACCAAACATTTTTGTTTCAGCTTGTGTAACCAGTGCTGCTTTCTGTTCTGAGATGCCAAGTAGTGACTTTAGGGACACCTAGATCATGTGAAATTCCACAACAAATGAAAGTAACTGCAAATAGAAAATTTTGGGCAAGATTTAAGAGCTTGATTCTGCCCTTGACACATGTTCAGATACTTGCCTTTTTTTTTTTTTTCCAATTCACTTTGAATGAAATTAGCAGTGCTAGTAGGATGATATTGATGCCAGAGTTACTTAGCAGGTGTACTAATAAAACTGGGGGAATAAGAAGGAAAACAGAAAACTGAAATATATTGGTCTGCAAAATGTGTAGGCAGTGTGGTGACATATCCAAGCCTTTAAGTGCTTACTGTAGCTTTAGTTTAATTTAGGGTATTCTTTGGATTTAAATTTGTTCTCAGTTATAGGTGGGAAGCTGGGAGCAGGAAAAAGAACTTTCAGCTCTTTCTTCCTTTATACCTTGTTCTAATTTATCTAATATATTCTTTGCTATCAAATTGCAGACCATGCCAAAATAAAGATTAAGAAAATGCACAAGGCAAAAAGCAAGCTGCTGATTGACCCAAGAAGCTTAGAGCACTAGGGTCCAGAGACACAGAAGGAAATTGTTTTTAGAGTGTGTTAAATCCCTACCCACAAGGAAGGTGTAAGCACAGATGCAGAGGAAGGTGGGGGTCGCAATCAAAGAATTCTTCTAGGATTCTCCAAAAGGCACAGGATGAAAGATACTGCCTTGAGTAGTGCAACAAAAAAGAGGCCTCCTGCCCACCATACCCAGGATTATCTTGATGCTAATTTCAATTTCTCATTAGCATGCTGTAACCCAGGAGACTATTCTCTGTGTTTAACAACAAAGATTTAAGAGATTTGTGGTGTCCTAACAAGACTTGGTTGTAGTTTGTCTATGGGCAACCAATTCTCAGGTGATATCTAAAACTTCCAGGCTTCTTTACTATAGTATCTGAACTAGAATTTGGCATAAGAAGACTGAATAGAGCAGAAACAATTGCAGCTTGCTAGCTCTAAGGATACACTGCTTCAAGAATGATTTTTTTCCTGTTTGGGGGATTGAAGAAAGAGAAGTCTACTTCCAGTTGCACTGAGGATTGTCATGGACTTTTCAAAATGTTGCATCATGAAACAAAATGATTTTTCAGTATCAGAACTGGAAAAAAAAAAAAATACAGGGGTTAAGAAAAGAGTAATGTGATTGTTTTTTAAATTCAGAAACAGCTATCATTTAGGGGAAAGGGGGAGGGAGGAAGCAGAAAGAAGAGATGTAAATAAAAATAACCTGCATTTATTGGCAGAGTACAGAAAATATTCAAAGTATTGTCTTGTTGTAGGTTGTGATTAATTTTAAGTTCTGCAGCTACATAAAATGTGATGTAGATTCAAGCTGCTGGTTTCAGAATGTCAGAGTGGAGCTGGTGGACAAATTTGAGGCTTAAAACACATAACAAGTAGTCTTTAGGATAAATGCAAACCTACTTTCCACTTGTTAGTGGAGAAGTGCTAGGAAAACCTGTTGTTGAGGCCATGAGAACACCAAGGAGGGACGAAGTCTTGCTGTACCTGTAGTTGCACTCATTATTAATGGAGTGGTGGGGCTGCTGACAAACATTCAGAGCTTTGGGAAACCTTGATGAAATCTTCTCTTCAGTGGAACATCACAGATTGTCTATCTAATGTCTCCTTTGAATGCAGTTTGAAGAATGAAGATCCTAGCATTCAAATAGTACAAAGCTTGCTCCAAAAGTAATGCTTCCTATCTGTTTCTGTGGAAACTATACCAGAAACAAAGAGCACAGTAACACTATTTAACAGAGCTGTTTCACAGTTGCTAGGATGATGTTGTTGCTGGGAAAATGTTGTTCATGCCGTCCAACCTTCACTGTGCTAACACACACTGTTTGGTCTCTGCTACTGCTCAGAAAGCTGACGTTGATGGGTATCAATGGATGCAGATTCTTCCTCCTGGAGAAATTCAGTGCTACGCCTTTGCTTCATACACACTTCCACGTCAGACATCATTTTGTCAGACTGCCCTCTGCTGCATCTATTTTGTGGCAACATAAATGACTTATTGGCAGGAAGGTTCAACCTCCACTGCTGTACCACCACCATCTGCCTCTGACATTGTGGGCCAACATTGTAAGAAGTACTTTCAGAGCAGCCCTTGTATTTAGGGAATGTTTAAGTAATTGTATCCTCTTGAAATGAAAGTACTGAAATGTAGTTGTTGCTAGCTCAAAGTTAATTAGTTCTATGAGAGTTTTAAGTATGCAGAGTGTGGTTAGTATACAGTATGTGTAAGTATACAGTATGTGGTTACAGTTGGTGTTTTTCTTTCTTCTAAGAATTGATATTCATCGTAAAGAGAATGCAGGTGCTGCTGAGAAACCAATTACCATTCACTCAACTCCTGAAGGCTGCTCAACAGCTTGTAAAATCATTATGGAGATCATGCAAAAAGAAGCTCAAGATACTAAATTGTGAGTAAAAGCCATTTCATTGTGAAGGCATTAAAAATTCTAAATCCTTGTTGATTTCATTTCAAGAAGGGTTCTTAAAATCTATTATGTAGTGAATCTTTCCTCTGTTGTTATTTGCACTTAACTAGAGAAGTCTTGCTTCTTTTACCTTCTAAGGATGGTTTAATTGCTTAAGTATCCTTCAGTACCTGTCTACGTTCCCAGCTACTCGGTGCCTGCAATTTTGAGGTGAAGTGGAGCAAATATTGAAAGTTTTTGAGGCACTAGTAGCTTCAGTGAACTATCACTAAAAGCTTTAATATCTTGCTTCCTTCCCAACAGCTCTTGCTACTTCAGTAGGACTTCTGTTTGCAGATACATCACATGAAATCTTTAATTGATAGTGCTGAAATAGCATTGCACCTGTATTCATTCTGCATCTCTTACTATAAGCGTGTGGGGGTGAATAGGAGTGGTAGGCATTTCTGTGAAAATACAGTTTATCCATAACATGCATAAAAGTTTGCACTCTGGTTTTCAAGTCTCACTGGGTGTAACCTCTGTTACAGTACGGAAGAAATTCCCCTGAAGATACTGGCACACAACAACTTTGTTGGTCGACTTATTGGCAAAGAAGGAAGAAACCTGAAGAAAATTGAGCAGGACACAGATACTAAAATCACGATATCTCCGTAAGTTTTTGGTCATATAATATTTTAGTGAGATGTTCAATGCTGCTGTGGTACGTATGTTTAGGTGCAGAACTCTTATAAATGTTGCATGTTTTGAAGAAAGCAACGACTGCTCAGGGACATGATTTAGCGGAGGGTTGTTAATTAGGGGAGTATGGCTAGGTTATGGCTGGACTCCACGATCTTTAAGGTCTTTTCCAACCTGAGTGATTCTGTGAGTCTCTGACACACCTTTGGAGCCACATTCAAAATTTGGGTTTAACTGCTACCTAACATCAGTTACAGTGCATGTAAACATCAATTCTTCATTGCAAATTCAGCCAACAACACCTAAAAATAATAGAAGCTATATGGAGCTCACCTTAGAAATACATTTTAAGTGTTTGTTGTTTTTAATATATTATGCTGTGTGCAAGGAATGGTGTTTTAAACTACAGGCTTGGATTAGTTCTGTGTGTGTGAAAATACATGAAACTACCAGTCTTTCTTGTAAGGATTCTGGCTTCCGCTACAGATTAATTTTTTGACAAGAGGGAAGGAAATCAAATGTATACTGAAAAGAGTATTTTTAGTGGTGATTCTGTCCCTCTCTGATCACTAGCAGCTGAACTAGGATATGTTGACTAGTCTGCATCTGAGTAACAGATTTTGGTTTCTGAGTTTGTGAAGGTAACCAAGACCTATTCGAATTTATCTGAGATCAGGAAGGAATTTTCACTGTAACGGGAAAAGTCAGTGAGGTGAGGGAGGAAATCACTGATTAAATATCTCTGGAGAAGTTTGGCTGCTAATAGCAGTTTTACCCTGGGGAAATATCTTCAGAGAACCTCCTGTTCTGAATAACGAATGTTCTGGCATGAACTTCCAGGCATTTGAGAGCACTCTAGACTTAAACTTTAGCTGAGAAAGGAAGAAGAGGGCTTATAGGTTGTAGGAGAAGGAGCGAGGCTGAAAGATGCATGAACGTGTGTGAAGAGAAGAAATGCAGGGATGGGGGGGGAAATAGTGTGCTGTAGAAAATAGCTCAGGTGGAAGCTAGGAGATGACTTTAGTCAAAATGAAGAGTACTGGAGTTTAATGCTGTAACCCTTGCATTTTCTGTGGGCAGTTACTACTTAATATTTCACAGCAAATGACTTAAAGTGTTTGGCTGTTCTGTCATGAGGATTTGGAGATTGTAGTCTGACTGGGTTTGGGCCTTTTCCCCTGTTTTCTTTGGGAATCCACGAGTTCTTAAGGAAAGAAAATGTCTTGCAGTCTGTGTTTTCTGGTACATCTAAAATACCTGAAGCCCTCTGGTGAGGCTGAGCGCTGTTCATATTCTGCCTGTGTCTGATGCTTTCTATTTCATGTTGCACCTCAGCACACAGTACCCATGCGATGCCAAACCTTCACTGTGGTGATTCCTTTTGGATTTGTTGTGAGGGCAGAATTTCTCCAGATTATCTTAGAACAGTCTGAGTGACATTTCAAATCGGCGTTTCACTCTTCAGGAGTGGCACAACTAGATGTCATTGCAATTAGCTAACAAGCCTTGATGACCCTCTGCTTTTTGCTGATTAATTGTGCTTCTGTTTCATCCACAGATTGCAGGACTTGACACTCTATAATCCGGAAAGGACCATTACAGTTAAAGGCAGTATTGAAACTTGTGCCAAGGCCGAGGAAGAAATTATGAAGAAAATCAGGGAATCCTATGAAAATGATATTGCTGCTATGAATGTGAGTTGTTCTGTGGCATGAATCTCTTTTGGCTTAGATGTGAAGGACTGGTGGAGGTCATCTGGCCAAACAGTGACCTCTTTCAAACCTAAATGGGGTTGTGTAATACCTTCTTCCTTTTGGGACATCTCCATGGATGGAGTTGGCAGCCCCTGGGGAGAAATTCTAGTGAATAGAATTTCCCTCTGCTGCCACTTGTATTTGCTTATGAGCCTTGGGTATGTTTTTGTTGTTGTTGTTTTTTATTATCATTTGTTATTTTAATGAGGGTTTCCTCTGCTAGTTTGTTTCAAGATGAATTGGTTTAGATTGAGGACATGGGTGATGATTTTACTTTTTTGTTGTTGTTGCAGAAGCCTGAAACAACAGTGTGTCTGTGCTGTTGTGGTTTATGTGCCATACTGTATAAGTTTATTAGCTGTGTTCCCTAGTCTCTTGATGTTAAAAGCATAACATATGGAAGATGGATCTCTCCTGCTTTTAATTATTCAATTTAGAAGGCTATATTAAATTTTTCTTGATATAGATGATAAAGACATTCAATTATTCAATGATTGGGGATTATATAATAAAAACAACACACCTCATTAGTTTGCCAAAGTATTACTAATGCATATTGGGGAAAAATCTGAGATGGCTGATAAGCCACGAAAAGCTTCTTGTGTGTCCGTATTACCAAATCTTATGGTCTAGGATCAGACTGGAAATATCTTCTACTTTACAGTAGTCTCTGATTTTCTAGGAATGGCTATTCATTATGGTTTCTCTACTGGCTAGAGAGAGAACTTTGTTTTTCCCCTTCCTCCCATGCTGTGCCATGTGCAGGACATAAACTACGTATGAGTACACAAAGTATTTTATTGTGGTACATCTTTGCCTCATATAGTGAGCTCTGCTCTGCTGTTTGGCAAAGGTGTGGCAAGCAGAAAACTGTCTCTAGTAGTTAGTACTGGGTTCATTTCAAGCTTAGTTATTTGTGATTATAGGGTAGATGGTAAAGCTTTTGGTATGTTTTGTGTGTCTTGCAATTGGATTACCTCGATGGCCTGAGATGGTGTCAGTATCTAGCTGAAATATTTCTAAAGCAAAGTTCTGTTAATAGGCAATAATTTGACAAAGTCAGAGGTGGTGCTGGAAAGTTTTGTTGCAGAAAACATGCTTCATAGTACTTGGCGCTACCACTTGCGTGGCCAAGTGAGGGATGTGCAACTGCATGGCTGATGTTTCCCCAGCAAGAACTGATGGGATCTTAGTTTATCTTTTGCAGGCATGGGAGGGAGGATAAGGTTTGTAGTGTGCATGATAAAGCAGGGCTTGTTCATGGGATTTCTCTGATTGTATAGCACTGCTTTCTTTAGTATAAAGCCAGAATGTTTGTCTCTGCTAGTTTATTCACTCTGAAAGTAAATGGTGCTATTCCCTGAATTCCTTGCTCTGAAGTCTGTGATACACATCACTTAAGTTGTAGTAAGGAATTCATAGCTGCTTCTTCTAATGAAAATCATCTTTTCAACATTATTGGTCTGTGCATGTATTAGGGAAATAAATTTGAAACTGAGTCCTTGGGGTAGTGGAGATGGGGAGAATTGGGGGCTGAGGTGAGTGTTAAGGAACATGCTGACATCTTTTTGGAAGTTTAATAGCTTATTATATAGCCAGCTAAGATTTTGATTAAACTTAATCAGAATCATAAATCTAAAATTACTCCTCTGCCATTGCAGCTTCAAGCACATTTAATTCCTGGATTAAATCTGAATGCCTTGGGTCTGTTCCCACCTTCTTCTTCAGGAATACCACCTCCTGCAGTGAGTGTTGCCTCTGCTGCTGCTGCTGCTTCGTATCCACCATTTGGGGTAAGACAACTCTCCAGTTATGAGTAATTAGTGGATGGTAATGTTAATCTATACAATGCTGATGTTCCAAAACATCATTTTTGCCAAATTACCTCGAAGACCTGAGAACAGAACAGTTGTGTTCTGTCAGTTTTCTAAACATTGTTCGTCTCCTTGCTTTACACACTGAAAATATTTCACGTAGCTGTGGTTGAGAACAGATGTTCATTGATCCTTTAGTGAAACACTCAGTGAAATCAGGAAATGGTGTTTTCTGGAGAAGTACTAGATGCTGTTTTCTAGAGAGCTTGAATTATTACACAGAGAAACGAGATATGAAATGGAATTTTAGAGTTGCTGCATGTTTGCAGGTAACAAAATACTAGTTTGTAGTACTATTTCTGCTGATCTGGAAGGGGGAAAAAAGATCTGTAGTTGTGAAACAGAGATCTGTATGTAGACAAAATGTTTGCTTGTAGTAGATTTCAAAAGAACTTGTACTTTTATAAGTATTGCTAAATACATGCAATTTAAGTGACTTGGATTAATCTCCATAAAGCCTTGGTTTGTGCCACATTACTCTCAAAGAAATATGTGAAAAGGCCCAGTAGAGTCCACTGCTGCTTAGTAATAGTTTGACTTTTTTGCTACTGAACAGAGGATAATTTGCTGTGTTAGCAAGTTCCAGAGCTTTTCTAGGAAGAGAAGGTGCTCTGCTATTCAAGAAAAGGCAAACTTGTTACGTAGAGTAATGGATTAGTGATCTTCCCTGCTTCTGGTGACAGTGGTTGTTGTTAGCAACTCAATATAAGATTAATTTTTTAAATGAATGCTTAACAAGTGGATAACGGAGCTTTATAAATGCTGTGGCTGTCTTCCCCTTCCTCTTTGTTTAACAGTAACGTGTAGAGAGAGAGGTCTGAGACTATCCATGAGCTAGAACAGTGAAAATGCAGCACAGCATTCTGAATTTTGCCAAATGACTCAAGTGGCCTACACAAATTACACTAAAGGGAAGCTATTGCCTAAATATTTTTCCCAGAGGAAGAAGCCAAGAAAATGTCACTGAAAGGAACAGGAAAAATTCCACACTCATAACACTGTTTGTGGGAATGAACAACTTGGGTGATATGAATGTATTATAATCTATATTAGGTATAATAGTGGCTTTATCAGAAAAAAGACTCCAATGAGAGCCACAACAGAAACATGTTTATGCCCAGTTATCTTGCTGCTAAGAGAAATGCCTCTGTGACAAACAAATAATCCCTCCCCTCTAATTGGTGGTAGACTAAACTAACAAGAAACTGGTTTTTTCTTCATTGTATTGTGTAAAATGCCATCTGTTGCTGTAATGGAATGTCTCAACTTATTTATTCTTTTTAAAGACAAACTAGAGATGATTTGTTAATAGTATATAACCTCCTTTGCTTTGGTGGTTTTGAAAAGTGTAGCCTCTCTATCAAATTTGCACGCTACTTTACTATTCTTGAGAGATTCATACTGTAAAACTGTAGTTTTGTTCCTTGTTTGTTTTGTTTTCCTTTTTTTTTTTCCCTTGGTTTTTTTTTTTTCTTTTGTCTTAAAACATACCTAAATAGTGTTGAATTTGGCAATTTCAGTCTTAGGCGTGTCTGTCCCTTTGCTACGGGGCTGCGATCCCCCACAAATGCACCTTTCTTGCCCTTCTGGGATCTCTGGCTACCCTAGAAATAGGATGGCAGTGACATCTGGGACAAGCCCCCAAAAACAAGTGTCATTTTGTAGGAAGTGCAGAAACTTTGTAGCTGGAAGGACCACGGTGTCTGAGGTTTCCATTGCTCCTGTTTCTGCTATTTGCTCAATTCTTGCCTCAGGTAGTCTGAATGTATGATAAGCTAACAAGGGATAAACTCAATAATACCACGAATGAGCTCTGGTTTTGTGGATGCTGGGTATGATGCTAAGACAGTCCACTGAAGCTAATGGTTTCTGAAACAAGTATATGAACGCTTGAAAATATCACACTTTCCTTTATGTGTATTATGATTTCATCTGGAAATGAGGAAATGGTTCCACGGGCTTCAGACAAGTCCGCCCCTCCGATTACTTGGAGTGCCTCTCCTCTCTGAAAGCAGAAAACAAGGAAAATGTGAGGTTTTGGTGGTAGTAGTTTTTTTCTTTTTAAATAGGTGTTTTCGGAAGAAAAAACTTCCTTCTTTTTTAATCTTGATCATTTTGCACACAGACTTTTAAATCTTGCTTGTTTATGGTTAGCTTCTGTTAATTTCTCAGCTTTACTTTCTCCTTTCTCTTTTTCTTCTAGTAACTGTAGTTGCTAGAAGACTAGTAACTTAAATCCCTGTCCAAATGGAATACTGGGACTGGTAGAAGAAGTAGAAAGAGCAAGTGAGAAGGTCTGGCTATAGTTAGAAGAAGAAATGGAGAAAACAGGAAAGGCTGAAGGTAGCATCAAAGCCTTATTATGCACAGACTCGTCTAATTTTGGGTGGAAGATGCGACTTATCTCACTAGGAAGCTGGTTGTTGCTTTTCCCTTTGTTTTGATGCTAGAGTGCATACAGGAAGGTCTTTGGTATCTGTCTGCTTAGATATCAACACATGTGCATGCATGTCTGCTGTATGTGGCTTATGGTGTCTAAGCACTATTGTCTAGTGCCAGGTAACCATTATTTGATATTTATCTATCGCTAGCAACAGTTCTTCATGTTGCAACTCAATCTGTTTGCAAAGTCCAGAATCTGTTTGCATCATTGTGTAGTCATTTAAATGCAATGCAGTAGCATTGCATATTTTCTGGTCTCTTCTTGCAAAAAAATTCAAGGTCTGCGTTCTTTCTCTGTATGTCAAAAAGGCAAATAAATCAGCATGTGAGAATTGTTGAAACATTTTAAGGTTTGAGGAAAATGTAACAGTTAAAGTGTTCATTAAGAATATTGAGTTTGAAACTCTTGGTACTGTCAAATTGGCATGGCTTTACTCTTACAGTTCTGATATTATGATTAATGTGAGTGGTTTTTTGATGAACGGATATCCTTCTGTGGCCATACTAAGGACTAGTAGCCTTTCTGTGCCTGTTTGTAGCTGATGTGTTGTCCAGCTGTTTTTTTGGTCTGGAGAGCCACCACCTCCAACTTTTCTCCTTAGCTCTGAACTTAAGTATGTACATGTGTACAGTTGCCAAGAGTTTTGTTAGTTTGCCTACTGTTGCTTATAGACATTATGAGCTGAACATCTATACAGAGATCTGGGATAGGCGTGGGAAGGAAAGAAAAGATTTTGCAAAAATGAATATGCCCATGTTCAAGTTTTCTAAAAGTGGTTACCACAGAAAATGTTTCTAGAAGCATCCCGGACAAACTGCTTCAGATGTAGTGTTGCACTGCTCAAAGTTGTTTTGATGAACTTGCTTCTGTCTTCTGAACTTTGGGGAGAATATGCACATACTTGCCTCTCAAGAACAAAAGTTCGTTCTTGTGCAAAGCTGAAGAGCTTGAAGCACCAACCAAACAAGAAATCCTTGTCTTGGAGTTCAACTATGTACAATCATTCAATTAAATACACTTGGCCCATCTACTTGGCTTAAGTGGGTTGCACCCTTCCTTTTGTAATTGAAATTTTGCATGTTTAAGTGCACATCTGACTGCATTTCTCTTATAGCCTTTGGGTCTGAAAACTGGCATCCCAAGGAATGAGGAAGGGAGGGTTAACCTGTTGAGAGTTCATCCTGTCCTTGAATGTCCTGAAACACGGGAGCAGAGTTAATTAATGCTCCTGGTAGGGCATTTCTGTCACGTGGTAGGTGTCCTCTAGCTGGAAAGTGAGAAGGAGACAGCTTTCCTCCATGAGAGGAAGTCATTCAGCTTGTTTCCTGCATCTTAAGAAATGGCTAAACTGCTCTGTAGAAGTTAGCTAGGTGAAGAGCTGTTCTTCTGCTCACATTGAGGTTGCTTTCTGTATCGGTCTTATGCAGTGACTGTAGCTTCTTGGAGCTCCACCTTCAAAATGTAACTTTTCTAACCATTTTTTAGCCTCACAGTTAATTTTCAGGTTACAGTGATATACATAGACACTTTGAGGGGTGAGGGGAAATGAGAAAAGTTGTTTCCTACAATAAACAAAAATTAGAAATCAAATCGCATCTTGAATGAAGAATCATCCTGCATAGCTAAGCTTGACAGGTTGCTTTCCTTTTTCACTGTCTTTTAAGGCTTTTTGTTGCAGGTGAGGAACATTCCAATGGAAAACTTTCTCCTTAGAAGATGTTGTGTTCAAGACAGTTTCCTTCTTTATTCTCCAGTAATTTTCAGAAATGATAAAGAAGAGATCTCTTATGTCTCATAGATGCGAGAGAAGAAATAACTGTATTGTGCTTTTGGCAGGCAAGAAAAGTAATTTAAAATGAAAAATTACTTAATTGAGGGCCTTCATTTGATGCCCTGGGCATATATGAAAGAGACAAGGAAGAGGAAAATCTGTCCTGTATTTCCAGGTACTTTGACTCTTTCTTGGTGGAGTTGGGCTCCTTTGGATGTCTGGGTTTGATAGGATTAGCTTGTGCAACTGTTATGCCTCAACTACCCAGGAGTTAGTTATGTATGTACATCTATAATCTGTGTAGTCTAAGTGGCTTTGCTGTAATTTGGCTAGCTTGTTAAGCAGTGGATGATTTTGTAAGGAGCTGTCCTGCAGCCAAAAGAGGATCTGGTTTTGGGGGGATGAAGGAGGATTTGGCAGTGTTTTCACAAAATGGTTTATTATCAGTGAAATGAAAGCCATACATTTGCAGCACACACAGTCTTGAGGACATTGTAGGACAACAGTGCTTTCTCCAACTGCTATCAGCCCATTTAGAATTCTTTTTAAGATTGTAACCTCAGTGCCTTGCGTAAACCTTCCTTGCTTGGTTTTGTATGTTTATTAACAAACCATAGTTGACACCTTAAAGAAGTTAGCTCTAGGTTGCATAAAACTGTAGGCTTATTCTGTCCCATGATAGAAATATTTGGTCCTCCTACTGTC